ATTGAGTGATAATGATTCGTGGGGGAAATTCGTCAAGAAACTGAAAACGATTTTGCTGAGCTCAGCAATGTGCGAACTTGGCGCTCACATTTCAGTGTTGTTGGTTTGATTATATTATTGAATTCAATTTTTTATTATTTTTATATTATTTTTATGATTATTTATTAAATTATAATTTATGATTTTGTGTTTCAAATTTTATCTACCCGGGATGTTTACTAGACTCTTGTTCGGACAGATTTCAGTGAGTTTTTCCTAAAAATTACAGCCTACAATAAAAAAAATACATATTTCCATGCAAAAAAATGGTACCGCTTTCAGCACCAAAAATCGAAAAAATCATACCGCCAGGGAGGTTAAGGCAGCACAGCACATTTAGTTTTACTATCTTCCAAAATATGTAAAGGGTTACTCTGCTTCTTTCTAGTAGCTGGTAAAACTCTGATTCCAAGTTAGTGGAGGAGAATGAGTCCCTGCCAAATAGGGAGTGGGTGATAGAAATCAACATGCAAAAAAAACAGAGGGCGCACAGGCCTAGTGCATTACTTTTAAAAAAACATTTATTTTATTAGAAGAAGTGGTAATATACTCACAAAGGACAATAGTGTCAAAGGCACATCATGTAAAGGACAGCCTTGTGCAGTCTCACTGAGTGATATCCGTAATGACAATCTTGGACCTCTTGGACCATCTTGGACAATCTTGGACCGTAATGACAACCGGCTAACGTGTTTTGAGGACTTGCTTCTTCCTCAGAGCCTGTGCCTACAATGCCTATATCCTCTCTTATATATCCTAATATCTTGTAGGTGGGTGGTTGATCCCAGACCCCACCCATGGGCAGAGATAACAAGCACAAGTAATGCCGTTATTGTTGCAATGAGCTAGGAGTCCGTCTAGCTCATCATCTGATCCTTGCCAGACAATCAGAATGTCATCTATGTATCTGGCATACATGGCTAAGTTGGCCCAATAGGGGTTGTCGTTCCATATGCATACTTCCTCCCAATAGCCCATGAACAGGTTGGCATAGCTGGGGGCAAATCTAGCCCCCATGGCAATGCATCTAGTCTGCCTGTAGAAATGACCTAGGAAAGAGAAAAAGTTGTGTGTGAGGGTAAAAAGTATGGCCTTCAGAAGAAATATAGCTTGTACAGCAGGTATCTTGCTGTTTTCTAAAAAGTGTTCAATGGCCAACAGGCCATATTGGTGTTCTATGGAGGCACACAGAGATGTAACATCCAAAGAGAGCCATTTGTATTCAGGACACCAGGAGAAGGATGATAGGATCTCAAGTATATGCCCAGAATCTCTGACATAGGAGGGTAGATCTATGACTTATTCCTGAAGGAAATGGTCTATGTAGCATCCCAGATTGCTGGAGATGCTACCAATGCCTGCTATAATAGGTCTACCAGGGGGGTTTATTAAGTCCTTGTGGATTTTCGGTATATGGTAGAAGTAGGGTGTCAATGGATGTTGTTTGAGCAAAATAAATATTCACTAGTATATAATATCTTATTCTCCATAATTCCCCAGAAATCAACAGGCTGATGGGAATGAGGATGGTATGCATGAATCACTTTCACAAATTCAACACAACTACAGTTCTTCCTGTGCTAATTAACGCCTTAGTGTGTTCCAAGTCTATTGGCAATGTACTCCTAATGGCATGCCCCCCCCAAAACTGGACACCCCTCTTCTCTTGTTCTATTTTTCTATGCTGTCTTCACTCCTTATCTTTTTCTCTGGCCCCTTAAAGATTTCTATATTGTTCACTGTTGATTTCCTAATGCCAGATTTATGATGTACAGCCTTTCCAAATCATATAACTGTTTGCGGAACACTTATAAACTATCTTGGAATGATACCCATAAAATTCTATGTTGATCTTATAGGGCATTCTCTACTTTGACTTGAAAGACAATCTGCTGTATCTGTAATTTTTCTACATACATGTAATTGTGGGAATGCTTTTTGTTTGAGCTTCTTGAAGAAAATTAGAATCTAATTCTTGAAAATTTGATTGATTGTATGTATATGTATTGTGTATATGTATTGTATGTATGTATTGTGTGTATGTATTGTATTGTGTATATGTATTGTGTCTATTCTGTCTTACTTTGACATACTTGTATGAAACTCATTTTGGACAATATACAAGTAGCAGTACATACTTACACTGAAAGTCATATAAAAATCGGATTGCAGCAGTGTGAACCTAGCCTATAAAATAGAGCACAGCAGAAGCTGTTTATCATTATTGATGGCTGCACTCACACCTGAGCAGAGCGATTTTCAGTTTATATATGAGCTTTTTTGAGTGTTTTTACATGCATATACAGGCATTTTTAGAAGAGTGTTACAGGCATTTTACATATGTATTCCAGCTTTAGGTTTTTGTTTTAGGCAATGGAAATCACTAGAGGGAGGAGATTAGCTAATATAGGGTAAAAAACATGCAAATCAAGAGTTTTCAGGTGTTCCCATTGACGTTTATGTGGCCCATAACACTCAGTTCTGCCTACAAAGTAGTTCATGTACTTATTGGAGTGACAGGCATTCAGCTAGAAGTGACAGGACCAGGGGCGGACTGACAACTCATGGGGCCCCTGGGCAATAGGGGATCATGGGGCCCCTGTGTCCTTGCCCAAACTCAAAAAAGCCTATGAAAAAGGTACCAGGGGCATCTCATGGGGCCCCCTAGTGACCCCGGGCCCTCGGGCAGTGCCCCAGTGTCCAAATGGTCAGTCCGCCCCCTGGACAGGACGCTCAGATGTGAACAAGGGTTATTGAATACAGTGAGTTTTTTTGCATTTTGAGAGTTTTCGAGCTTTGTGCTACAAGCTGCAATGAAAATAAGAACAGAGCAAAAAGAGATAACAGAGCAGCAAGAAAGGGGGAAGAGAATGGGTAAGTCATTGTGACTCATGCCATGAGTATTGGTGAAAAATGATCTTATCATAGCTATTAAACTCTGTAAGCGATAGGCTTACATTTAACCTGGTAAATGTGAAAATGAGTCAAGAGCAATATTGTATAATTACCTAAGGATAAATAAAAATATAGTTTTTAAATATTTAATTGGCTCAGTCTTTAATAAAAAAATATAGGAAGTACTAAACACTATACTTTCTCTTTCATTAGCTAGTCATATTAAAAGAAAATTTTAATTGAATGTCCTAACTCAAGTAATTTTAATAATTCACCAGCTAAAGTGTATATTTTAGGTGTATCAGAACAAGGCTGTCAAGCATTTTAAGATGTGCATAAAATATAAGAGGTTTAATGACAGCACTATTTTTGGCATAGTTTATACATGGTATTAAATACTTGCGTAACAACACCATGGGCCAGACAGCATCAACCTAAGGAAGAGCAGAATGGAATAATAACATGCACACACATATTCTTAGTCATGCTTTTATTATTCCAAGAGCCCATAAAACACCATGGAGGGACACACTAGCTCTCTGCTACTGGTGTTCACAGATGCATAAATAAGCCATGAAGGAGTTTCAGATGCAAATTGACATAAATCTGTATTACCCACGTGTGACTACAAAGGAACTAATCTCAAAAGCAATGTTCCGAGATGCAATTATAACTTTAAATGAGCTGCCTAAAGAGATGACTTCAGGGAGGTATGGGAAGAAACGTATTATCTGTAACTTACCTATGGCAAGCTATCATTTTGTTGTGTTAGCTGTAGATATACCCAAAGGAAAGCAACAGTAAGCTAAATACCTGCATATATCATATCAGGAGGTATGGGTTTGTGTTTGCAGGCAGAAGTGCTAATGCCTTTAAGTCAAGAAGATTTACCATACTGACTTGTAATCCAGTGGGAGGAAGGGAAGTGGGACATCATTACAAAAATTCAGAAATCTGAGGCAGAAGAATAAATTACTGGGTGTTTGTGCAAATGTCTATCCCTGGTTATCCATGTGTGTATATTCCTGTCAGTTCTCGTCAATGTTGTAAAGTATACTGTTCAACATGAAAAAAAGTGATTCTTGTGTATTTTATTAGTCTACATATGCAGTGCTGAAGAATGCAGGGATCTGTATGGCAACGACACAGCACACGTTTACTGTATATTGCTGTCCATCTAAGAGTGATGCTGTGATGACATCAGTAATTCCAATTAACACATAAAGATTTGCCTTTCTGCAGTTTAAACCAGGCTGATCAATAAAATATTACTTCTATAAAGCTGCTGGGATAACTACACTTTGCTTTTGGTGCTTTACTTAATGCATGTTTGCAAGAAGAATTGTCTGTATTCACTATCTTTAAGCTATACTCCAGGCTAACAGCTAACTACTCAAATAAAAAATACACATAAGTGAGCTGCTTTACCTGCTAAAGGAATTGTATTTCTGTTTATCTTTTCCTGAGATCCACATAGCTCTACCACACAGCACAACCGTCCTTTGGGGTAGAAGACATGATTTTTCTCTGCTGCAATTTAGTAACACCTACAGGTCTTGTCTCTCCCCCAGTTTGTGACTGTACAGTTAACCTCCCTAGCGGTATGATTATTTCAGATTTTTGGTGCTGAAAGCGGTACCATTATTTTGCATGGAAATATGTCATTTTTTTATTGTAGGCTGTAATATTTAGGAATAACTCACTGAAATCTGTCCGAACAAGAGTCTATTAAACATCCCGGGTATGATAAAATTTGAAACACAAAATCATAAATTATAATTTAATAAATAATCATAAAAAATAATAATATAATAATATTACATTTAATTCAATAATACAATCAAACCAAAAACACTGAAATTTGAAATATAGCGCCAAGTTCGCACATCACTGAGCAAAGTCGCAAAATTGTTTTCAGAGTCTGATGATGAATTTCTCCACGAATCATTATCACTCAATTCTGCAAGTGGTTCTGATTTACTATCGCTGTTCTCTAGCTGATCTAAACCCGCTTTTGACCTAAAGGGACGCTTTTTGGACGCCATGGACTTTTCTAAGTTTCCAGGCAGAAAGAACAGTCAAAATGCACACAGGGGACAGGACAAAGCACTAGGGACAATATGTATGTGAAATGGGTTGAAACAGCAATGTTTTACTATGTAAAATTAGTTTTGAAAAAAATTACATTTTGTAAAAAATTTTCAAATTTCCCGCCGCCGGCGGCGCCCGTAACAGGAACCGGAACACGGAAGCCTCCTCCTCGGCCAGAGGAGATGGCCGGGGACGCTGCAGGGGACACATCGCAGGAGCGAAGGACAAGGTAAGCTCTGCAGGGACTCCCTATGCAGCGCCGCATGGTAAGCCCGAGTGTAGCTCGGGGTTACTGCTTTTGGTACAGACAGACATTTTACCCCGTGCTACACTCGGGAATACCGCTAGGGAGGTTAAAGAAGGAGCAGTGGACTAATGAGCTCATTTATGTCACTTTGATCTCACCTTTTATTAGCTTGCTTCTTGTTAGGACATGAGCACTGCAAAAGAGCAAACAGGTGGCGCAAACACCCAGTGCATTATCCACGGTTTATTAAAAAAAATGTATAAAACACAAAAACATACTCACAAATGTAGCATGTATAAATGCTTTTATGACAATGGAGATGGCCACAACATGGGAAGGATGTCCAACTGTCAGTGTGGTTGGGTTTCTGATGTGTTTCCGGGACGAACCAAGCTCTGAGGAAAGGGACTCATGTCCAAAATGCACCAGTACCCGACTACACTGACAGTTGGACATCTTGCCCATGTCGTGGCCATCTCCATTGTCATACAAAGCGTTTACGCATGCTACGTTTGTGAGTATGTTTTTGTGTTTTATACATTTTTTATTAAACCATGGGTAATGCACTAGGTGTTTGCACCACCTGTTTGCTCTTTTCCAGTTGTTGATTTTCCCCATCTGAGGATGGCTGCATCCCTGAAACGTTATCCATAGGCCACCACTAGCTTTGGTCCCCTGGCTTTCCTATGGCCATTGATTCCTGGAGCGCTGGAGAGTATACACTTTTGTCCACATGAGCTCTGAAGCACACCTGACTAGCTTCTAGTGGGGCCCCTTTGTCTCCCATTCTGAGCTCTACAGCACAAGGGCTTGCAAAAGACTGATGCCAAGCTATCTTTATTTTACTCATACTACTTGCATTAAAAATGTAATTATTTATTTATGAATATAGAGATGTATTTATATGTGTCTTTTATATCTGCCTGGAGTTCAGTCTAATAGATCTTGGCACAAAATCAAAATAAGTGGATGAAACATCCAAGCAGAAGATAAGTAAAAAAAATATTTTTTTTTCTTAAAGGAAACATCTAGCAATGTGAATTGTGCTAAAGCAGTTCCCCAAAAGATCTAAATTTTTATTACATTCCTCCTAAAAATAGCACTGTATTTTCTGTTTCTAAGCTGTCCTGTGCCTGTAGCCTCATTGCTGTATGTGCCTAGTCTAGTGAGATTTGGAATGAGATTTGGTGATGTCACTACTTGGTTGCTGGGGAGGGATCTGTACCTGAAGACCTACAGTGCAAGGATCTGCTTGCTTTTGCTTCAGTTGTCCTGTGGATATGTGTTTTCCTGCTGCTTCCTAAATATTCACCCACCAGTGCAGAACGAAGCATGAGAAGTCGCTAATGTGAAAAAGATCAGTTCCAGGAAGCCTAAAGGCAATACTGTCCTTTACTTGCTTTTATTGAGCTTTCACAGTTCAATTCCACCTTAAAGGGCATATTTATAAATATATTAAAATTAAATATTGTAACTCTAATGCTAAAAAATATCAGAACAAATATTTACAGCTTTTCAAATGTTATAAAACTATGTTCAGTATTTTTTTTACTTTGCATTTATTGTGATATATATTGACATACTGTAAATGTCTTTTGAAATGTGCAATATTTATAAAGTAAACATAATTCACTTTGTGAGTTTGAATTAAGTACAGATGATTATTTTCAATATGATAATGACTTCTACCTAAAGTAAATTGGTAGGGGGGTCCTTGCATTGCCTTGAAAATGCTTAGAAGCACTACATTTTGTTATTCGAAGAATAACTTCCCTGTTCACCTACCTACTGTCATTAGTCCCTCAATTTTTAAACGTCATCTGTTTAGTTTAACTGTTAAAAAAATTGACACATCACCCCTGTACTGTGAACTTAAAAAAGGCTCTTTTGAACCCCTTTACCACAATTCATGCTGCCACTCCATTTGTACATTCGCCAATAGTCATAGTTTTCTTAATACAAAATAACAAAGTTTCAAAAGATGATGGCTTTTTCACTTAATCCTTGTGATGTAAGAAAGAAAAGCACGAGCTCCATGCAGCTCACTGAGTGATTAGAGGTCAGACAGTAGGAAAGAATTATACTACTATATTAATATTTAGAAAAAAAAAACCTTGGGGCATTATTGGGTGATATTTCCTGTGCTCTGCTACTCATTGTTATAGCATTTAAAGTAGTACTAATGCCTCAAGTTTGTTTTTTTTTGTTATCAGTAATACACTGATCTTGATAAATCAAGCACAGTACAAATATTTTTTCCCAAAAATGCTTAGAAAGACTTACAATTTAAATAGATTTTTATTTGAAGCCTCCAGCTTTCTCAGTACTGCTTCCCTGAACTTCCTGCTGGTGAGTACACAATCAATACCTTGTTGAAGGTGTTCCGATCCTCCTCCATAGGACTACATGTCCCATCTTTCTTAGTGTCATTGACAAATCCTATTGGTCTGTCTGTACTAGCGCTATTGTGAATGCATGAAGTTTAATTTGTTTATATGTTGCCTTTCCTGCTTCCTCCCTCCCCCATCATCATATTATAATGAAATAAAAAAAAAAATATATTCTTTATTGATTACATACCTTATTTTATACCTAGGGATAGGTCTCCATGCTTTTCTATGTATACCGGAACATTATGGCTGGGCCAACAGGTCTGTTTGTATATAACTTCCTAAAAACATCATAACACCCTTCCTCAGCACTGTTCTTCAGGGATGGGTGTCAGTCTGGAGGAGTGGGAGTTTCTAGGTAGACCACATTTACGTGTAGACCACCTGGATACCCACGTGTGATGCTGAGCCTCTATAAATGAAATAACTTAAATCAAATGAAACAAAGAGACCAGACAAAGACAGAAAAGTTGAGAGGAAAGGGCTAGATGATGCTGCATGTCATCCAGTAAGTTACATAGTTACATAGTTAGTCTGGCTGAAAAAAGACAAAAGTCCATCCTGTTCAACCATAGAAAATAAAAAAAGTTATAATCCTATACCCACAGTTGATCCAGAGGAAGGCAAAAAACCCCCGCAAAGCATGATCTGCTGGGAAAAAATTCCTTCCTGAACCCTCGAGAGGCAATAGGATATTCCCTGGATCAACTTTAGAACCTCGAGAGGCATGATACCATTTTTCCCTGAGATCAAAATAGATGTAAAAGTCCACTGCTGGAAAAAAAAAAAAAGAATCCAGGACTTTTTTTTGAAGCAATCCCCCCAAAGTTCTGAGCTGGCCAGAACCAACCTCTTGAGGGAATAGTCTATTCCCATTTTCAACAGCCTCAATGTTAAGAAACCAGTTTGTTCTGTGTATCTAGGAAAGAATCCAGGACTTTTTTGAAGCAATCCACTGAGCTGGCCAGAACCAACTCTTGAGGGAGTCTATTCCACATTTTCACAGCTCTCACTGTGAAAAAAGAAACCTTTCTGTGTTTGGAGATTAAATTTCTTTTCCTCCAGATGTAAAGAGTGCCCCTTGTCCTCTGTGATGACCTCAGGGTGAATAACTCTACATTGAGTTCACTATATGAACCACTGATGTATGTATACATGTTGATCATATCCCCCCTTAATCTCCTCTTCTCAAGAGAGAATAAATTCAGTTCCTCTAATCTTTCCTCATAGCTGAGCTCCTCCATGCCTCGTATCAGTTTAGTTGCCCTTCTTTGTACTTTCTCCAGTTCCCCAATTTTTTTCTGTGAATTGGTGCCCAAAACTGAAGTGCATATTCCAGATTAGGTCTTTCTAATGATTTGTACAGGGGTAATAATGATTAGAATATATTAGAATATATTAGAAACCACAGCTTGGCATTGCATGCCATTATTAAGCTTGTGATCTACCAGAACTCCCAGATCCTTCTCCACCATTGATTCCCCCAGTTGTACTCCCCCTAGTATGTATGATGCATGCATATGCTTAGCCCCCAAGTGCAGAACCTTACATTTATCAACATTAAACCTCATTTGCCACAGAGTTGCCCAATTAAACAGTGCATTGAGGTCGGCTTGTAAATTGAAGACATCCTGTAAGGACGTTATTCCACTGCACAGCTTGGTGTCATCTGCAAAGACTGAAATGGGATTTGTAATCTCAGACCCTATATTGTTTATAAATATATTAAAAAGTAAGGGTCCCAACACTGAACCTTGGGGTACACCACTGATGACCCTAGACCAGCAATGGGCAAACTACGGCCCGGCGGACCTTTTAATCCGGCCCGCGGAGCGTGGCAAACATTGGCTGTCAGGATGTGTGTAGGTGGGGCAGCGTGAGGAGCGGGGCAGCATGAGGCGGGGCAGCAGGGGAGCTAGGCTCCTCTCACAGTCCGCCCTGAAGACCGGAACGGCGCGGGAACACGGCGAGAGGAACGCGCGGAGCAAAGGTAAGTGAGTTGACACAATATGGGGAATGAATTACTATAGGGGGGATGAATTACTATAGGGGGGATGAATTACTATATGGGGGATGAATTACTATGGGGGATGAATTACTATGGGGGATGAATTACTATATGGGGATGAATTACTATGGGGATGAATTACTATAGGGGGGATGAATTACTATAGGGGGGATGAATTACTATGGGGGGGATGAATTACTATGGGGATGAATTACTATAGGGGGGATGAATTACTATAGGGGGGATGAATTACTATGGGGGATGAATTACTATATGGGGGATGAATTACTATGGGGGGATGAATTACTATGGGGGATGAATTACTATATGGGGGATTAATTACTATAGGGGGAATTACTATATGGGGGATGAATTACTATATATGGGGGATGAATTACTATGGGGGATGAATTACTATATGGGGGATGAATTACTATGGGGGATGAATTACTATATGGGGGATGAATTTACTATGGGGGATGAATTACTATGGGGGATGAATTACTATATGGGGGATTAATTACTATGGGGGATGAATTACTATATGGGGGATTAATTACTATGGGGGATGAATTACTATGGAGGGATGAATTACTATACGGGGGATGATTTACTATGGGGGATGAATTACTATATGGGGGATGAATTACTATGGGGGATGAATT